CATTTATATGAAAGCGAATTGTTTTTTTGCGCAAAACTCGGTTATTTATGCATAGAAATCAGAATATTTTTCACATCAATTGAATTCAAAAAGTTTTTAATAATTAAAGTAATAATGTTATTATTATAAAGAATTTCAATAATAAGGTTTTGGCCAATATGGCTTACTTTACTAAGGTTTTTTATTCTTGCTTGTACTTTTTTATTCATTAAATTAATAAAGGCTTAAATATTTTATTTAGACCTTAATGTGTTTGTCTGCGTAGTCTAAAAATATCTGTGAATGATATTAATTAGCATTCATTATTTATTTTATTATAATTTAAAGAATGCTTTAATCGCTTTAACATGTCTTTATTTCATAGGAAATAGTGTGCTTAACAATGGGAGAATGAATAAAAAAATAGGAAAAATTCAGCTTCGCAAAGATTTCTGCTCTTTTTGTTTTCTTCGATTTTTTCTAAGAATTGGATTTTAATAAAATGCTATAAAATAAAAATAATAATAATAATAAAAAATATATTTCAAAATATTTCCGTACTTCATTTAAACAAAATGTAAGCCTAGATAAGTAGTTTTATTGTATATACTCTCAATCACAATTATTAATCCATTAAAAAGTTATTGTTTTTTTGCTCTGTGCATCTCCTAATGATGCAAGACAGCAAAATGTTGCGAGAAATTTCAGCGGCAACTTCTCTTCTGTGGGTAAGAGAGTTGCAGCAGCAGCATCAGCAGCCACAAAGACGTTCTAAATGTTACGTTATATTATTGCATGTTGCCGCTGCAGCGGCTGCTGCCTCCTTCGGTGGTTCCCGGTCGCCACCACTCGCAGCTCTTTCACAGATGCGCCTCGAATTAGGTCTCTTGGCTCTGGGCGCTGCTGCAGTAGCCTTTGTTGCTGCTGCAGCTTTGTGGTTGTGCTTTTATTGTGTAATCAGCAGATAACGGCATTTAATGGCTGAATGAGTTTTCCGAAGAGTGGAACAAGGCACGGTAGCGGGGAGTGAGGATATATATATATATATATATTTATATATCGGTTGGAGCCAACGCATTCCGCACGAGCTTCGTTTAGCGATCAGTTTCTAGAGCTATTTTCGATAACTTAATTTTTTTTCGGCTCAGCAGCTTTGTTTTTACTTTTTCTATTGGGCAGTTGAAGCGTGGCGCTAATCGATTTCTATTGCCGCAATTTGGTTTCCATCAAATTTGAAATTACCAAATTATTTCACAATTCGTTGGTTTTCCGTTAGTTTCCCATTTCGCAGGTCTTTCGTGAGGCAGCTCAAATTGCATTTCAGATACTTGCTATTATTTGGATTGAGTTGTTGATTGGAGTGGAATTTCTGTGTCGGCCTGAGCGGTTCCGATTTCATTTTCTGCTTATTAAAAGGGTTGCAATTGCCTGTGATGAAAAGTATACGAAGGAAATTAAATTATACATTTTAAGTTTTCCAAGAAATTTTTATATTTATTAAAGAATACTACAAAAAATTTAAAAATATATCAGTATAAATTTCAAGACCTCAACTTCCAACTTAAAAGTTAGCAATTTCTTCTCCCCATAAACTTCCTTTTTCTGGCTGTCAGAAACTTTCTATTGAAGAAGAGGAAAATTATATGCGGAACGATCAAAATGCTCCAGCAACTAATAACAGTAAACGTTGAACTACTGGCCAAGATTGATCAAACGATTGCCTCACATCATCGTCTTCATCATCTTGGCAATCAATGCAATGCATTGCCCCCTCGAATGCCGAAGGGAGAAGGGAGCACCAATGCGATTCTTCTCCGTCAGCACGCAAGAACAGCCATGATCTGTCGGAGCAACTCCTCAACTCTACTGAATCCAACTCCTCGCCTGCCTCTGCCTGGCCTGCCTGAGCGACTGTCCCAACTGACTGGCCAGATCACTCGCTGCAGCAACCACACACACCGGCCATGGCAGCCAAGAACAGCTACGTCGACGATGACGGCGACACATGCTATGGGTACATAGCATAAAAATTACTTCCTGATTGTGTTACATGCACCCAGGACCGGTCCCAGTGCCCCTTTTCCCGCCCTTCTTTGTGGGCCCCCTTTAAGAATATTGCTTATTTTAACAGTGAAAATAAAATTATAAAGATGAGGAAAATCATTCAAGCTTTTGTTAAATTAAGTTTGGAAAAATTGAAAAATATTCCTATTTGTATCCTCAATTTTAAAAAGATTTAAATGTTTAAAACCTACATTTTAAGATCAACAGACCGCAAAAATTGTTGGATCTATAAATTTATAAGAAAGACCACATTCGACCACATATTCTCTCAGTGCATTGACATCTTTTCACATTCGTCTCTTGTACCTACAAAGTGGTTTGCTGCCTCAAGGCTGAAATTGGTATCGCACAGACACAGGGGCGCACTGGGAAAGGGGAAAGGAAAGGGTTTGTCAGCTTGCGTGGGCCAAAAGGAGACCCCCCAGCTAAACAGGGTGACTCTTCGTCGGGCGGAACGGGACCAGCGAGAGATCTGTATCATTCAAAGTGTCAATGGACGCAAATTTGCAAAATGTTTTCTATTTATATTCCGGCAATTGTCATGGGCATTTGTCGAGCCCATTGTCGCCGGGCACGTGTCGGAATCTGGGATCTGCGGCTCAAGTTCTGCTCCACTCCCGCCCGAATGTGGAATTGTCCACGGTCGCCAGCTGAATGCAATGGTGGGGGGGGGCCTGGTGGTGCCTGGCATGGCGATTCGAAGCGGCGAACCCCGGAGGGCAAGAAACGTTTTTGCCCCTCATTTTTCTTCATGTTTCATGTTTATTTTTCGCTTACTGCATTTTCTGGCATTTAAGCTCCGCTCTGATCTATCTGTCTTTTCCAGCAAGCTGGCGTTTTGCCTGTTCTGAGCCAGCCAGTTGGCCGTTCGAGTTTTCTGTGTCAGTCCCAAACCCGGAGCACTTGTCGTGATTAGTTTGGAAAAATGTTGGCTATTAATTTGCTGCCTTGAGTAACACTTGTTATTTGGCTTCGCATTTCGCATATAATCTTGTCTGACCGACCGCCCGGTGCCATGTGCGAGCCGTAGATAATCTCCATGCGCCCCTGCAAACTCCACAATGGCTTCGGCCCCCTCCCCCCAGGCCGGGCCAGAGTCTCAGGCTCTAACAAATGGGTCTTGGCTCTTGGAGTTTCGGTGCCAGCCGATTCTGCGGGTATTTGCTCTGGTATCCAACATGTGCTCTGATGTTTATTTTCGGTTACGCTGCCACAGGTCTTATGAAATGTGTCGAGATCGGTGAACTTTTGTAGGGGGATCTATATAGAAATGCATTATATTTAAGTCAGTATCCCAACAGAGAAGTATATAACTTAAAACGATCAATTAACTGATCGTATATAGATATAATTACCAAAGTATCTTTTAAATATTTTTCTTAGAAGTAAGAATTTCCTACTGATAATACTATTAAGACTTTTAGAAGTGTTTTTCTGCACATCTTATCGCTTAACCTGAAAGTGCCGCTTCATGCAGTTGCATAATCACAATCATCTTCGGCTGTGGCGTGCATCCGTCAGGTTAATTAGTAAAATACCTGGTGACCAGGCACGTATTGCCATTTAAAAAGCATCAGTTTTTTCCCCCATTATTCAGTACATTTTTTTTTTGTTTTTTGATTAATCTCCACCTACTGCCGGCAACCGGTCGGTTGCATGTTTTTGGTCGATACAGCATAGTAAAAATATGGCAAACTAGTCGAAGCTTTAATACCCTTAAAAATGTAGGTAGGTTAAATGGTTTCATACACTTGTAAGCTCCTTGGAATTGTATTCAATAAGAAACACAAAGGATTATTTTGAACCTCTCATGTTATAAAGACACTTGTAAAATAATCGAAATAGTCACTTATCCCCTTTTGCGACTCATGTGCCCTCCCATTATGGCGATTGTGCCCTAACCAATCGATTACTTCCTGCATTTTTAGATGTCCCCTCCTCTCTCTCTCTTGGCTCTCGGCAGCAGGACAAATTAATCAAGCGTACGCCAAAAAAAAAAATCGTATAAAAATATAGGAAGAAACCAGAAAAATTTAACGAAAAAAAGAAGGAGTTATAAATGAAAAATGCTGGACAATTGCATGGTTCGCTTACAGTGACTAATCGATTTTGGGAATTAAGTTGCGCTGCAGAAAGGAAAGCAAGCTGGCAACGGAAGTGGACAGGAGGCTCTGGAAAAATGGTTTGATATGGCCCCGGCCCCAGCCTAGTCGAAGCCAACGATTCGCATTCCATGCGAAGCGATTCCGCCGGTTCCATTCCGCTGCGTCGGGTCCTCAATGTCCGATGCTATTGTGGCTCTTTTTGGTCTGCTAGCTATTGATTTTTACGATCCAAGTGGCCCCGACCGAGAAGGAAGCCATGGCACCGAGACACTGCGAGGAAGACAGCGACAACGCACTCAGATTGGAAGTATGCCAAGGCGGCGTGCCCACAGTTCACCCTACCAAACCATATAGTACAGTCCCCTTCTACTCCCTCACCTCTGTGTATATCCATTCCCGGCCGACGTGTCGGCAGATTTGTTTGTTTTCACATTCAATTCTCGGTCGCTCGATTGGGTTTCTATTGGCGTTTGGAAATGTGCCAAAGTTCAATGCACGGCATTGCTCTGGTAAAATTTCGCACTGCATTCGCATAGTTCAGTTTAGAGATGATAGAAAATGTGGTTATAACGATACTGCATAGATATTTAATTGATTATCAAGATTTGATATCTTGATATTTAATATTCAAAATTTTGATATATCAGAGCTTATGATGTTTTCCACATTTTTTTACATATCATACTTTTCGTTAATCGTTTCTAATCTAATTATGTCGCCAGCTCAACTAGAAGGCATACTTTTAGGCACACTGATATTCGTCATTATTCATTCACACCTCCCCCATATGAGATCGGACCCTAATCTACATATAATCGCACAGAAAAAAAAACGAGTCTACTTTTGGTGACACTTTTCGCTTTATTTCACTCGCAGTCAATCGTGCTCTTCTTCGTCGTTGCTCTGCATATAGTTGACGAACTGATCGGCCATATGCCAGTACCAGTGCAACTTGACCAGCTCCAGTCCGCCCTTATCGGCAATCCATATTCGACCATTCTCGGATCGCTCGATGGCATTGACAATGTTCTGGCCACAAATGGCAGTCGACTGGCAGGGGGCGTGGCGCAGGCGATCGGCAAAGGACTGGCCATATTCCAGGAAGGCCTTTAGCTCGCGGTCTACAAAAACTCTGGTGGGGCCACAGCAAACAGCCATGACAGCCACTCCGTTTTGGGAATAGTACAGTGGGTCCTGCAGGGAATAATAAGGATACTCAAAAGAATATATTGAGTACAAGTTGATTATACTCACCGCTAGACTTCTGGTGAAGCCAATGACTCCGAATTTCGAAGCACTGTAGGCACAAAATACCGGAGATGGGTCCAAGCCAATAACTGATGTAACATTCACTATTAATCCTCCAGATCCGCCCATTTTTCTGTCCATATAGGGCAGAACAGTGGCCACCGTGTTCATCATTCCCGTTAGATTCGTGTGGATGGTGGCATCAATGTCGTTCTCATCGCACAAAGTGGCTCCGTTTATCAAGACATCGATGTAGTCCATTTGCACCATCACTTCATCGAAATACTTTTTCATTTCCTCCCTGGCCATGGTCACATCGTAGGTCCAAAAAAATATCTGAGTGCTCGGCTTAATGGCTTGAAGCTGGGCGATGGCCTGGGGATTCTCTGTGCTCTGCAATATGGCCAGTTTCTGGGGGAACAGCGTTAGGATTTACATTTTAGAATAGCCCGATAAGCGAAAGTTTTTAATCCTTCAACTAAATCTAATGCAGCCTGAAACATAAACCTAATTACAGCACAAAAAAAAACTAGCTTGAGAAACAAACATGAAAAACTCATTAACTTAATTAGTTTCGACAGCGACTAGCTGAACTAGTTTGGGTGGAAATACAGAAGACTAAGACCGAGCAGCGCCCAGCTTCCCGCTCACTCACCGCTATGTTCTTGGTCATGAGAACCTTGCTGGTCTCCAGTGCAATGCCGCCACAGTCCGCGACATAGCAGACATGCTTGCCCGTCAAATCGAACATTCTTTTCCGCTTTCCTCGACTTCTGTTTTACGACTGACTGGCAGGTCTGCCATTCCTGAGCAGCCGCTCCCCTTTATCTATTTTAATTAATTTTCTTCGCTTATCATTTGTTTTGCATTTCTCAATTTTATTATAACTTGGTGCTGTTTCATGAGTTCTATTATCGTATTTGGGGAGATGTGAGTGTGCAGCGATCAGCCTTTTTGCTATGCGTGAATATCGAGCGGTTCGCAGAACCTTATGAACTAGAGTGTTGCTTGCGGGGGTGATTAGATGCCAGAGTCCCAGTGCTTGGTCCACTGGATGGGCTCCAGGGTACCCAAGTCCAGCTTCCAGATGGCACCGTTCTTATTCAGCTCGATGGCCTTGACAAAGTTCTCGGCGCAGGCCTGAGAGGCCTGGGTGGGATGCGCCAGCAGCTTCTCGGCCACCTGGGGCTCCACATCCAGCCAGGAGTTGAACTTATGCACGAGAGTGGTGCGGGTGATGCCGGGGTTCACGGTGTAAGCGGTCACACCAGTAATGGGGGCCAGTTTCTGTGGATTATACATGGTATAAATATTAAACCTAAACCCAGGACACCAACTCGGTTGAAGCACTTACCGCCAGGGAGCTGGTGAAGTTGACCACGGCGGCCTTGGTGCCGGAGTAGACGGGCACCTGGTAGATGGCATTAAAGCCCGTCACCGATCCAATGTTGCAGATAATGCCGCCCGGTCCGCCCTTGCGCTTGTCCCAGAAGTCCAGGATGGCCGTCGTCGTATTGACCAGACCCGTGTAGTTAACTGCAATGGTGCGCTCAATCTGATGGTCGTCCAGGATGCCAGCTCCGTTGATCAGAATGTCCACGGTCTTGAGCTTGGCAAAGATGGTCTTCAGCAGCTTGGTGGTCTCGGCAATCGGCACGGTCACATCGTATGGGTAGAAGGTGACGGTCACCTTCGGATTGATTGCCTTCAGCTCGGCAATGGCCGCCGGGTTGTCAATGCGGTCCAGGATCACAAGGTTCTGGAAGGACAAGATATTGTAGCGACGGGGCTATTGGTTCTGGCTATTAGTTACCTTTAGGTCCCGCTTGACCAGCTCCTTGCTGGTGTCCAGGCCAATGCCGCCCAGACCGGCCACGAAAATGACGTTCTTGTTGGTGAGTGTCGTCGACATGGTGACTCCTTTGGCTCGCTCTTTCGATCTGTTTGATGGAAGGAGGGTTTGGTTACTTGTTGATTTCCAGCAGAGCTCCCTCCCGTATTTATAGGAAGACGATTGCCCCCTCCGAGCTTTCCTAACGTCGAGCTTTTGCATTATCTCGCATTACGTGATGAGCTACGTGAACTGCCGGCTCCCGGTTTGTTTTTTTTTTAAGTTTCGGCACACTTCGGTTTGTTTTTGTTTGGCATCGTATGCCGGCCAAGCTCTTTCGAGATTAGCATTCTGTTTGTATATTTGTATAAATTAGGCGAAGTTTGGAAAATTACTGCTGGTCTGGGCATCGCTGTCATAGTCTACACGCGCTGCGCGTTCAAGATAGCCCGCAAAGGAAAGACCCAAGTTAACAGTCTATGTTAAAGTGTCTAAATATAGACGTTAGCTAACAGTCGTAGTACAAACTACTTATTTAATTTAATAAGTTTAATAAGTTTAATAAGTTTAATAAGTTAATACAATTTCTAGTATTATTACTTACTTGATCAATTGAGAAAATTTCAAGAAATGCACTTCTCCGTTAGCCGGCCTGTACAACTGCAACTGACCACTGCACTGAGACAATAATCGCCGCCTTCGACATTTGCTCGGCCTTAAATACTCTTCCGTCTGTAGGTGGCAGTCGACGTCAACGGCTACGCCGACGCCTGCAGCAGCGGCGCTGCCATAATTTGTAATATGTAAAATGCAATAGAAATAAGTAAACAAATGATCTTCAAATAAATGGCGAGCGCCAATAGAAAAAAGAGCACCAGTAAGTACACTGAAAGAATAACTGAAGCGAGAAATGGAGCAATAAATGAAGCCATTAATAAAGATATATTGCTAATCAGCAAAAAAATATTAGTATATTTTAGAAGGACTTAATAATTTATTTGGTATTATCTTCTAATTTCGATTAGTCTGATGATCTAGTCTAGATCGACTTGTCTGCAAAGCTTTCTATAATAGTGCTCAACTTTGACGGATCATATTCAATTAAATAGTAATGTCAAGTATTCTTGGTATTATTTTCCTCAGTGCAAACCCAGTCAGTGAGGATAGTAAGAGCTTTAACCTTGGGTGAATGTCAAGCCAGGCAGCAGAATTGTAGCCTGCATTGTTGCTTTTGTCGCAATTGAACTTCAGCTTAATTTGCATACGTGTACCTCTCGGAATCGAGAGCCTCATGGGGCGCGGCGTAAGACGAAGGCGGCGTAGAATCAATCTGGAAAAGTTGGAAAGCCGGCAGAACAACACGCCCCCTAAAACAGCTCATTAGCATGCCCGCTTGTCCACAGGTCTGCGCAGCGACCAAGCCCACTCTGCGGCCGAGCTGGAATCTGGAATAGCGGTTTCCAGTGCCCATAAAAGATAGCAAGTGCAGCTAAAAGTTAACCCATGTTTGAATAGTAAATGCTTTAATTATGTTGCTTAAAAGTAATTCTTAATCTATGTACTTGGAATTTTAGCCTCGTTTAACTTATTTCCTCATCTTTAAATTTAGAAAATATTCCCCTTTACTAAGTTAACTGAATTCTTTTTCATTTTAAAAACTTTATAAAATTCCTTGGTTTGCATTTTGAAAACTTAAAATGTAGTCTCTATTTCGTTAGTTTTTTTTTTCTCCTAAGAATAATATATAGGATAATGTAATCGATTTCGCCTTGGATTGTCTCAAGTGGGTTAAATTTGTTTATCCCGCAAAACGATGGAACGTGTGATGAGTGCGAAAGAGATAAGTATGCGGAAGAATGAGCTTTTAATTTGCATAAAAAATTCTTTAACCCGTTTAATGAAGTAGAATGAAACACACTCACACCTCAATTTCAGCCTAGATCTGCGACAGATCCTAAAACAAATATATTTATAAGTATTTGGAGCGTAAAACTGTGATTTCTAGAATCAAAATTATGCTTATTATGTTAGTTTATTTCTCAATTTGCTCTGTCCGTATTTTATAATTAAATTTTTTATTATTTTTATTATTTAATTCGTAATATGCTATGCCTTATCTCGACCACACGCAGAATGCATGCTACGAAATGCTGCTGATAGCTTCTTTCAATTTGAAATCTTCCAGCAATCGATAGCTAATTTTCCGAGTGACCCACTAATCAAACGGGTTGCTCTGCTGCCCTGGCAACGGCAAAGGGGGCAATAACAGCAACATCGTATGACTATTCGCGCCTCCAGACGTTAATCTGATATGGTCTGGCCTGGGGTGGTCTGGGCTACTATTTTCCTTATCGTCGGACGGCGAACGTCTTTCAATTATTTGGAGGCAGAACGAGCTACACTGGGGGAAATTACAGATTATTCACATGACACTAATATACAAGCATTTTCCTACTGAACTGTATAGATTGTTATGTTTTTTTCTCAATGTACTCTATAAGGTGCCCAGCGAGCCCCTTATCGGCTTGGCCCCCATGGCATGCTGCCGGTGACATTCAACCTCTCCTGAGGTAATGACGTACGAGTACCTGTCAAAACCGATTTGCGCCAGCTCTTGCCCCGCGCACATACACTCACACTCACTGAGGTCCCCTTAAGTAGACGCTGGCGAACATTGAGATGTCGTTCCTCCAACTAATTAAGCTAGTGCCATTGTCTTTCCGCAGCGAATGAATGAAACTGGGGCTTCTAAACGATGCCGTATAAGCGGCTTACCTCGGCTATACTAGGGCGAATGTGAGAAATGGGAATTCCAGGGAGTGTTTGGGGCACGGAACTCTAGACACGTTCTATGTGCATATTTGGGGCGTGGTTTCCATTGCATCTACATGCAGAAGTAATCTAATTTACTGTACTATTCCACAGTTTGACCCATTTGACTCATGTCGATCTAACACAAAGGGAAAACGAAGAAAATCAGCAGTCGTTGACGTAATTCAAATCAGAAAATCTTTCCAAAGAGACGATCGGGTTTCGCTTTACGCTTGACTTTACTTTCGGGTCTCTCCTAACAAACCGCACAAAAGTTTCCTAGTCTAGATTGCAATTGTTGTGGGAATTCTTATAAATAATTGGGAACTCACAGATTTTTACCTCTAATATTTAAAATGAGAGGGACAAATATTCATGGTAGTTTATAATTATGACAAGAAATAAGGAAAAGATGACAACTTGTATTTTGCACCTTTCATTTTTCTCACTTCCAGCATCTCTAGACTCACTTCAATATTTATGAATTCAATCGTTAAAAACCGCAGGGAGAAGAGGAATGAAAAAATAAGTCAAGAACTGGATCGCAAATCGGAAAATTGTGCTGCGGCTTGATTATTCGTGTGCTAGTTGGCTTCTTCTAGGCCTTATAAATAATGCGCTCGACACACCTCGCCAGTCCACATGAACTCCCCCCGATCGCCCGTCCCATTATTGGATGTGGTATAAAAAACCTTAACTTTGAGAAGGTGCGAGGGCAACTAGCCAGTTGCCTGCCTCAGATTTCAACGTCATCTTCGCTGAAGGTTGAGCTTAATTTGCTTTGACTTTTAGTAATTTGCATAAATATCAGGCACACGTTGAGTCCTACACGCTGCTTTTGCCGAGGCACGTTTGTTATGACTCTGGCAACTAACAATAACAATCAGAATCAGATCCAGATTCAGATCCACATCCAGATCCACACCGAATCAGTGCCGATGCGAAGGCGTCGGTGTCGGTGTCTCGGACTTGGAGCTGGAGCTGGGTTACCTTTCATGGGAATGACAACAGCAGAAAATATATGAAAGAACGAATTATAATGGAATTATGATTTTTGTCGGGGGCGTTGAACATTATTTACCCCAATCTCTAGTCTCCCTTCAGATTTCTCGGCCCCACCTTTCTCATTTCAAATTGCAGACGACAATGAAAATTTTGGTTTATTGGGAAGAGATCAGTCGACGTATTTATATGATTTATTGATATATCATATAAGTTGATGTATGTCAAAAATTTAAATAATTTTTTTATATTTAATATTGTATTTATAATTAATACAATTTCATTTTATCTGAATCTTCAGCGCTGGCAAAGACGATGGTTTGTTCTCTATGACGATGGCGAGCTAACGTATTCTGTGGATGACTATGTAAGTACTTTCTTTAATTGTAAATATAATATAGTAAATATACAGAAATGCTTTTTTTGTTTTGTTTTATTATTATTATTTATGCGCATTTTCTATGAAATTGTTCTGTCTTGATAACAAACAATAATAAAAAGTTCATTAGATCTGAGTGAATAGTCGAGATAACAGACTTTAAAAATATTAGGACCTCGATTATGGCCTTGCTCTTGAAACTAGTAAATATATATATTGTAGGTGACCATATCTTATCGGCTGGCGGAAAAACATTAGAGCTTAATACTTGTGTGCTTTAGATTTTTGTACTCTTACGGGGTTCGAAACTAAACCATATAAAAGCTTTGTTTTTAAATTATTGAAGACGATCCAAATTTTTGTACACTTTCTCAGGGTATATATATTTTGATCATATTTAATATTTTATATTAATTTATTTCTTATTCATTTCTGCATCCTTTTCCTACAGCCCGAAACCATACCGCAGGCCTGCATTGATATGACCAAAGTGCTGGAAGTGACCAGCGCCGTGGAGGTGACGGGTCATCCCAACTCAATCGCCATAGCTGCCCCGGAACGCGTGACCTTCGTGAAGGGAACCAGTTCGGAGGAGTCTCAATGGTGGCTCAACATCCTGGCGGCGTTTCCGAAGTCGAAGGGCCGCCACAAGCGCAGCGCCACCCTGCCTGGTGGCCAGGTTGTGGGCAGCCTGCGTCAGGCGGGCAACAGCGAACTGACGCTCGCGACGAAGCTGGGCAATCGGCACAGCTCTTATCACAAGGACACGCTGACGTCCTCGCAGTCGGCGGGCAACCTGCTTAGCACTCTGGATCTGGGCCCCAGTACCACGAAGACATGCTCAGCGGCTTTGACCACCACACAGACTTCTCTCGCTGATGACGAAGAGGACGACGGCGTGGAAACGGGTGAGGATGTCGAAGATGATGAGGAGGACGATGAGGATTTGCCAAGGAAGACGAGTGCCGCCAGCACAACCAGCTGCTTAAGCGGACAGGACGAAAACAATCGAAATGCGGGCAACGAGATTACAAATCGAGGTGAGTGACAAAACTTCTGGAATAAATTAATTTAAAAAATGTTGGAATGACACTTAATAGATCTAAAAATGTTTGAAGAACGTAGGAAATATGAGTTAACCATTTATTATTATTATTTATTATTAAACATAATGTACCTTTCCAGCAAAACCCATTTCTTACCCTGCATTTTTTCGCGAATTTAGTGCAGTTCATCCTTTCCATTGTGTTGGGCTGCGTTCCGTTCCGAGCTCGTATCGGCTGCTATAATTTTTATGATCATTTATGGCTCGCAGCAATCAAAATTATCAACCTCAGCCCTCGGACAGACAGAGACAGGGGCAGACTGAAGGATTACAGGGATACAGGGGATGCGAGATGGAGATGGGGGATCGTCGCAGTGCGTGTAGCTAGTTAAGGCCACAGCCACGAAATTAACCTTGAATTCACACAAACACAACGTGCAGCAGCAGCGGCGGCAGGGCTTGTCGGGAGGAGAATCCCCTCCACTACTTAAGATCGTATAATGGTAGGCCTCATAAATTTCCTTTAGATCCCAGCAGACCCAAGTGGATCTGCTCCGCTGCGCTGGATCGGTTGGTGGGTCGGTAATTGCAGTTACTGTGAATGTTCTCACATACATTGCTGCAGGATACTTGTTCATGGAAAAATGATATTCACGCTTAAATTATAGTGTGTCTGCCCTCAGATCCGTTGCTGTGCCCATCAACGACGTATCCAAGGGGTATAGTGCCCGGACTGAGGAGCACAGCACTCACACTGGCCCTTCGCCCGGATCTCCGCTTATAGTTACAAATTCAAGACTCAGCATCCACATCAAATGGCATTATTCAGTTGATAAATCGCCAGTTAAATAAGTACGTGAGCCAGTTCAAATTGTTGGGACCACGAAACTGAAAGCCTGCATTAACAACGCACCTTCACAGGCTCGTGGTAGCAGTAAACTTATGGAAACCTATGGAATATAGCTACTCACCTACAGAAATACCAACAGATTTAAAGAGAATGTAATTCAGAAACATTTGCCTCCAAGGGAAATCATTACAACTACACATAACATTTCCCGGGAAATGTCTCGCTTGTGGAAGCACACCAGTGTCCGGTTTTTACACTCACACTTGACACCTTTTTCGATTAGCGATACACAGTTTCGGTGTAATGGGTCCAGAGAGTCCAGGGAGAGATCAGTTACCAGGACTCTAGGGCATTTCTGGTGCTGACACAGACTAATTATTTTCCATCAATAAGGAAAATTGTGCGGCAAATGAGGCAATTCATTGGTCGCCGCGCAGGGAGCGGGCACTTTCAGAATGGGCGTTAGGCCACGGACGGAGCGAAAGACTTAAAATGCACAACGACAAAGATTATAAACTGTCTACACCTAATAGCCGTCGGCTGTCCAATGTCAGGCAGGGGCCAGTTGAAATATTTACCAAGTCAGCGCTACAAGATAAGCCCCTCTGGAGATGAGTCCCAGTCGGCGTCCCTCCATGCATGGGCTGCCTGCTGTACCTGGCTGCTTGTAATGGGCAAAGTTTTACGGCAAAGTGAATAATTACAGTGCAAATAAATCTCGTGGAGTGGAGCGTGGAAAGGCCCCGATCAGTGGATAGATTTAGAAATTGCAACAGCCTCTCGGAAGAGGTGACGAAATACAGCTCCCTTTCAAGTAGCCCAGTAACCGGCTATTAAACGCCCGAAAAAGTCCCCCCAGAAGGCCCAGACCAACAATAAAAGCATCAACCCAGGGCCCATTGCAAGCCAACGAGCTGCTGAAAGTTGCCCAAGAATTAAATGCAAGATTGTATTACAATGACAAATTGCAGATGCCCACAAGAAGAGCAGAAGTAACTACTTATGATTGCAACAAAGTAGTTGCTTTATCTGTGAATCAACTGCACTGAAATTAAATTGTTAAAGCCTGGGATTTTACTTACCTAAGGTTGCAACAATAGTTAAGACTTTATTTGGTTTTAATAAAAGGTTTATTAATAGAAGTAAAAGATGGAATTGCTTGGGATTATATTAGCCAGTAAAAAACTCTTTAGATGTTGAAAGGCCTCGGTTATAACAGAATCCTTATGAAAAACGAATATAGCTTTGAAAGTCTACGAGATCCCTGAATAAAACTCTAACAATCTTAATATTATTAACTGACTCGTAAAGATATTTTATTGGTGCATAACCTTTACACTATATCACTCGCTAATTACACCCCTTGCCAACTGTGTTGGGAGAGCCATTAGTTCTCCCTTGAATTCATTATCTTTCTATTGAGGAACCTCATTATGAGCCCCACATGGCTCTCTGGCCATTTTAACAAACGTGTCTAGAGGCGGTACCAGTGGATCCAGCTTCATTGAGGCCGGACAACTTCTGTGCAAATGCAAAATGACAGCATAGGACAGGCAAAAAAAAAAAGTGAAGAAGGCGTCCCAGCAGCTAACGATGCAGGTTGTGCGATTTACGAGGCTCGAGAGCACCACCACCACCATCTAGAGGAGCTGTAGGAGCAGCCGCCACAGCCTCCGCCAATAACCAATCAATATTCATAAGTGTAACGACTTGCGAGCGAAATTTATGCAACATACATGGGTCTGGTCTGGCAGGATTTTTCTTCTTTCTTTCTTATTTTTTTATATAATCAGGGATCAGGGGTGGCGGGGCATCGAGGGACCGTGCACGGCCAGTTAGAAATTTTTCAAAGTCATCGTGTGAGGGGGCCCCAGGGCAGGGCAGGAGGGCCGAAGCGATTCCAATCCAAAGGCAATTTTCGCTTTCGTTCGCCCAAAAGGCAGAGCGGAGCAGGTAAATCAACTGGCAATTTGATTATTTATTACGTCCAAGGCGGAGTTTGGCCACGAGGGGAGCGGCAGACCGTGATTGAGTGGGTTGTTCTAAGAGCGGTTAATTGTGGCCGTAATTAATCAAATGCTGTTAATTAAAGAATGGAAAGGGATACCCCCACCACAGCGGAGACAATTGTAAAAATCCTTCGGTTCAATATCTCCTGCCAGCGTACATACATTGTCTGTGTTCCTTGGGGTTCTCAGCAAGTAACCATAATTATAGACCTCTCTGCATCAGCTGCGGCATCAAGCCACTTGCCAGCCCATGTATCTGCGAACACAGTTTTTATCAACTTAATTACACTTAGCACCTTACGCGTCCTGCTCGGACTCCCTGCTCGCCGATTTGATCTTGAACTTGAAAGTTCGTAGTAAAAGCCACAATAAATATTAAATGGTGCAAAACACATCAAGGGCAGGCAACAAAAAAAATATATATATATATATAAAAAACGAGACAAAGAGCCCAAGATAATAAAGCAGCAAGGGGGAAAGAACAAGAGCGGGGCATCGAATAAGAAATTACCTGTAACCTGAAAGGATCCTTGGGCAGACTCATAAGAATTTAATATTGTTTAACATCAGTATAGGATTTATTTTATTTTCCTTCTTCTCTAACAATCTTTTTGAAACATTTAAATTTGAGGTTGAGCTCATCAACTCCCTTACAGCTCCATAAACTTGATGTCCTTATGCCCTGTCCCTTGTCGACTATGTGTAATATCATAAGCATTATAAATTCCATTGCTGACATAGTCCCAGCCCCGAACCATAATCGAGGAATCGTTGCCGGAGCCACTTTGGTCCGGTCAGTCTCTTTGGCTCTTTGTGCGATGGACCGACAAGTCGACCAATTAAAGGCATACCCCTGCCCATTGCCGTCTCCCAGGCGCAGTCCCAGTCCCAGTCCCAGTAACCTCCCCTTCCGCAGTTAGCACAGTAACCTTGAACCTGCTCGGTGAGTCAGTTAGTCAGTCAGTCACTCCCCGACCCCGTTTCTGACAGAGTCTTGGCCGGATCTGCAGCTGAAGCTGTAGCTGAAGCTATTACTGATGCTCGCTCGCCCAGCCGAAGTTCAGAGGCTGCTGGTCCACCTCCATTCGCTTTTCGCAACAGCTCAATAATCAAGATAAACGCCGCTGAGCAGCCGAAAAGCGACCAACCTGTTCAACTGAACGAATTGATGTGCACTCGGGGTCTTGGTCTGGGATTTAGTCCCGTCCCGTCCCAGCCTGAATTCCAGTCTGCGGCCCAGTCCCGGTCCGCTCGCTCGATTTTATGACCAGTCGGAAATTTGTATCATAATCATAATAAACACAAAGGTGGCGGCAGCCTGGAACAGGTCGCGACTCGCGAGCACAAAACTCACTCCCGTCTAAATATATATTTTGTAATCACATATTTTATGGGACAACTCGAAGGAGCTGCCTCTCGTCCGTCTGGTTCGTCTCCGATGGTTTGTCCTCGACTTGTTCGGGTGTTTATAAAATTATGGCACTCCGGCGAGCTCTCAGGATCGCTTTGGCCGGGCGGGCTTATCGCGATCCCTCGGATCCCCTTACCGTGTGTTTTAATAATTTTATTATATTTGCGCGCACATAACTTGGCTTTCTCGGCGCGTTTTATGGCCCTTGCTGGGCATAAATATTGTTAGAGGCTGGGGGAGATCTCTCCTTCCATTCCTCAATCCGCCATTCTCCACGATCCCCTGTCTAAGTTAATTTCAGTCAATGCCATTGATATGGTTTGCTTAGGTAGAAGATCTCAGCCAGCCGACCAAATGAAATGGCCAAGTTGCTCATATATCACAATATTTAATTGAGAAGTAGGGCAACGTAGAAGAAGGGAATTACCTAAATATCTGTCCACAGGATCTCTCTGTAGTTGAAGGTTTTAATAATTATATTAATATTTGATTGGAGAAATCATTCTTAAGCTAGAAACTCATTTAAAATGTCTACTTATTTATCATTCCTCGAGCGAAATTAATAATTGTGTATTTCCTTTTCAGTTTCCCAGCCCACCACCTGCCTCCTGATCGAGGACATTCGGCGCGATGAAAAGACGATCAAGGACATCGCCAACACAATCACGAACTTGAGCCAACAGCAGAACAAACGCTGGTCCACGGCGGTGAACAATGCCCTGAACAACCAGCATCAGCACCACTTCAGCCACCATAGCCAGTACCAATCATCGCGGGATGAGACAGACTTCCAGGTGTCCTCCAACAAAGTCAGCAACAAGACCCCGAGCACGGCCACTGAACGACCAAAGTCCCTGCCCCTGGCAGCCAACTCCACGCCAGCGATTGTATCGGCCATAGTCAAAAAGATTCCCACGGTCATGGAGCAGGGGGATAAGGCGAAGCCCACTGCCAGGCTGCAGTTGCACCTGAAGTCGCCGAAACACTACCAGCACGAGAGGGGCGACCCCGATGGCGGATGCAATCTGGACGAGCTGTGCGTTAACTACATGGCCAAGACAGATGAGCTCCGATCGGTGGGCAAGGCAGGCGGTAAGGTCTCCTCGGGTCAGGGCAAGCCTCCTGCCAAGGCCACCGCAGAGGAGTCCCTGAATGCTAAGAAGGGTTGGCTCATGAAGCAGGATAATCGCACGGGCGAGTGGTCAAAGCACTGGTTCACCCTCAGCGGAGCAGCACTCTTCTACTACCGGGATCCCTTGTGCGAAGAGCGTGGAGTGCTCGACGGCGTCCTGGACGTCAATAGCTTGACCAGCGTTGTAGCTGAGCCTGCGGCGAGTAAGCAGCACGCCTTCCAGCTGACAACCTGGGACAAGCAGCGCTTGCTCTTGGCCAGCTTGTCGCCCAGTTCGAGGAACAGTTGGCTGGCAGTTCTGAGGAGTGCCGCCGGTCTGCCTCTGCTGGAGACGCCGCCCCAGCCAACGGACATTGAACAGGACTTTATCAAGGCCCAGATGCAGCAACCAACCTCCAGTCCCGTCACTCCTGGCACGCCGATCGGTCCACACTTTTCTTCGGATGAAGAGTACAGAACGGCCTCGGAGGGCGGCAGAAGAGACAGCTTGGACTGGGGATCGCCATTGTCCCCATCGCCGCCAGTACTAAGAAGTTGCCTTCGCAACCGCAGCCTGGCCAGTTTGCACAAGCGGAGCCGGAGCTCACCGCCCAGCTCCCGGCGCAGTACGGTGGACAGTGTGGCCAGCGATGAGCTGCCCCTGCTGGTGGTGCCAGAGGAGCTGCAGCCATCCGAGAGCCGGGAGCTCAAGCAGCAGTGCGAGACACTTCGTGCGGAAGCCTCTCTGCGGGAGGCCCGCATGTCGGAGCTCCTGGCCACCCTCCAAAGAACCGAGCAGCAGCTGACCGCCCGCCTGCAGGAGCAGCAGCAGCAACTGAACAGCGAGCTAAGTCTAGCAAAACAGAGTGCCTCCGACCTGATGCACAACCTGAGCCTACAGCTGTCGGAGAGCCAGTGCCAGATTAAGCAGTTGGAGGACCGCCTGGCCCAAGGCATCGAGGAGAACGAGGGCCTGTACAAGCGTCTAAGGGAGCTCAAGGCGCAGGACAACAGCGGCGGCGGTCTAAGCAACCTGCAGCGTCACAAAATCAAGCGCATGGACTCGCTCAGCGACCTGACCACCATCAGCGACATCGATCCCTACTGCCTGCAACGCGACTCGCTTGCCGAGGAGTACAATGAGCTGAGATCCCGGTTCGAGAAGGCGGTCAATGAGATCCGGGCCATGAAGCGAGAGCTAAAGCAGTCTCAAAATCAATACGATGCCCTGGAACTGGCGCAGGCCGCTCTGCAACAAAAGCTGGAGAGGCGACAGCACGAGGATGGAGCCCAGCTGCAATTGATGGCTGCCCGGATTCAGGATCTGACATTGAAGTACAGCAGCTCCGAGCGCCAGGTGCGAGGTCTCAAACAGAAGTTGGCCAAGTCTGAGCGGCGCCGCTCGCTTTCCCTGAAGGGGAAGGAGCAACTGGAACTAAAGCTGAGCGAGCTGCAGAAGGAAACGGTGGACAGAAAGGAGGGCACACCTCCCGAATCCTCCAGCAGCGAGTCCAGCAGTCAGTCGCCCCTGAATGCCCACCTCCTACAGCGCCTGCACAGCCTGGAGCACGTGCTCTTGGGCAGCAAGGAGCGCCTGGAGCAGAGCCTGTCCCAACTGCAGCAGATACGGGCAGGCCAAAGGTCTCGTCGCTCCGTCTCCCCCATAAACGACCGTAAGGACGGTCTCAGACAGCTGGAACGGGCTCTGGCGGAGACCTGCGTGATGGTTAGTGAGCAGATGGAGCTTACCTGCCTTCAGGATGCGTGCCACAAGTGCTGCGACCTGCGGCAGCGGGTGGAGAAGCTCTCCGCCCTGCAGCAGCAAACCGAGACGGATTTGCAGAGAAGCGAGCAGCTGCTGGAGCAGCGGGAGAGTGACCTGGCCCAGGCTCTGGAGAAGTGCGCCAGTCAGGAGCATGAGCAGGAGCTACTCGTGCAACAGCGCAGGGAACTTAGCGAGGAGCTGGGCAGACAGCAGGAGCGCTGCCGACGCCTGGAGAAACGACTGGAGCTGCTGGAGCGGGAGCACGGGAAGCAGCTGGAGTGCCTGAGGGAAGTCTACCACAATGAGCACACCAACGTCGCTGACGAGCTGAGCTTTCGCAAGCGGTACCAGACCGAAATCGAGCAGCTAAGAGTATGTATTTAGCAACAATTGAAATTAAAAGGAAATTAAGTTGAGTTCTTTAGAATGTTAATCATAATTGTTATTATTTAATCTCTTAATCATAATTACAACCTGCATTTTTTTCTCTTAAGACGCTCTGCGAGAAGGGCTTGAGTGCAATGGAGACATCGCATCGTCGACTCACCTGTGACCTGGAGCAGAAACACAAGCTAGAGATTGAGCGTTTACTGGCCGAGAAGGAAACCGCCTTGGCCGAGGAAACTCAGGTTAGAGTCTCAGGACCCATTCAACTTATACCCAATTGCTGATTGCCTTTATATAAACTCACAGGCCACTTTGGCAGCTCTGGATGCCATGCGTAAGGCGCACCAGAGCGAAGTGCAGAGGGAGGTGGCACGTTTCAAACAAGAGTTCCTCCGCCAGGTCCAGAGGGGCGAGCACATGCGGGGCGATGGAGCCAAGCTGAAGGAGTAAGTAAAATCACTGCTGATATTTCTAACAAAAATATTCATGACACTATTTAACCAATTAAGGGAGGATCTCGAGGAACTACGCCTGGAAATTCTGTCATTTTCTGAGAAGTACTCCATCAAGTGTGTGGAGAATGCCGCCTTGGAGGAGAAATTGCATATGGCAAATAGCAAACTGAGACACTTTCAGCAGATGCAGCAATTGGAACTAAGGTAGGGCACTAAATAGGAGCCTTTGTTATTTATTTTCACACTTGTTATATATATATTACCCAAAGGAATCAGCAATTTCGTGCTCACCTGGCCTCCTCCGATGACCCGGCGAGTGACGTCCACTTTGTCCAAGGCCTGACTACCGACTCCAGAGAGGGTGCCAATAATTGTGAGGATAGCGAGGTAAGAATCGAAAATGAAACCAATGCAAACGCTCTCTTAACACTAGACCAAATAATTTGTACGAATTGTGACTAACACTAATCACCACAAACAGCAGACAACAAACTAATCCACTTTGTTACCATCTTCCACACTATCTTAAAACGAAAAACAAAACAAAACAAAAACAAAACAATCACCACACACTACAACTACAAACAACCACCCAAGCCTGCACCTCAAATAGTGGGTAAAACAGCAACCAGAACCACAACCGTAGCAGCCGCATCAGCGCCCTCAAGCGACACAGAGTCCAATCCCGATCCCGATTCAGATACAGACACAGAACCCGCCGTCGACTCATCGCGAGCGCCACCCGTGAAAATGCAGCAAAGCCTCCTCGTGATACCCTCCCATATGCTAAACTGTTCCCCCGTGTCTGCCGCAAACGCTTCTGATCAGAGTCCCGGCCGAGATCTCGATGGGCCCGAGGCTGGCTACGAGCCATGCTACAGGCCCTTCGATATATTCGCCATCTATCAGAATCGTTTGAGCTTCCAAGGTAAACGCAAAGCAATTTTCGAACCACTCTTTTCTCCTGGGGCAGCGCACTCTCTCTCTATGTTCTACACATCATCACGACTGTCTCTGATTCTGTCTTTCTGTACATCCCACCTCCTGGCACACTCTCAGTGTTGTTCTCGACTCGAAGTAAACACACACATATCTGTTTTGGCCTTTACCCAACATTTGTTTGGCTTCCACTGCGACCTGCAAGCGATAAATGCGTGACAAACTAATTTTTGATTTGGCCTTTTCTTTTCTCTTTTGCTTTTCGGGACTCGTTGCAGGTCTGAGAGGCAGCTCCACCTTTGGCAAGAGTTTGCGAAAATCCACTGCTCACCAGGCATCACCAGCATCATCAGAACTAACCACGACAGCGCCGCCAACAACCTATCCAAATAAGCCCAGTCACAAGGAATTGTTTAAAACGGCTGCCGTTATTAACATTCAGCAACAGCAACAACTCCCAAATGAAAAAGCACAATGAACAAATCGAAGATAAAATCGAAAAATGGAAAGCAAAAAATGCAATAACCAAGAGCAAGCAAACAACAAACAAAACCAGTGGAACAACCAAAGAATAATTAGTGCTAATAATAAATAAATAAATAATTATAAATATTTAAAAATATATTAATAACCAATCAACCAAAATCCCGAAAAGCAAATATCAGCAATTCTCTAACCGAGCGCAAAACTGGTTGACGAGCATACACAACGATGATGATGATGATGATGTTGGTGATGTAGACGATGAGGAGCAAGACTTGATGAGCTTCACGCGGAGAAAGGGAGGTGGAGATGGAGTTAAGCTAACAACGACTGTTCACCCCCCTCCAGGGATAAACTGGAAGGGACGTCGAGCAATGAGAAAACTAACCCCAACAAGAACAGCAACAACGGCAGCATCAGCAGTCGTAGCAGCAGCAGCAACTGCGCAACAAAGCAACATAACAAGCAAGAATTTTGGGCCAAATTTATGTATTTATCATCTATTCTATCATTGTATCGTATGTTATTCTATTGTACGTTTACCTAATTCTCTATGTCCACAAAATGTGTCATTTATTTATGTTTACGTAGTTGTTAGGTCGGACTTCTTTGAAGCAAGAACGCGAGCAAATTAAGTCTAAGTTGCCAATGCAACTTTTTTTTTATTTGTTGGTTTGTTTCAGTTTCTTATTTCGCTTGTATTACTTGTATCGAAATTGTTTCTGCTTACATACTTGTAAATGCATTACACATAAAGAAAATACAATTGAGAAACAACAAATCATCCAATTATATTTTTGTTTTGTTAAACATTGGTATTAATCATATATCTTATGCAATTTTAATCTTACCTAATAAGTGGGGCAAAACAACAAATGTTAATATTATTTACCCGTAAGTCGTTATTTGTGCAACAAAAATAAAAAATGATGTAAGCAATGTTTATAATTTGAAAAAAATATCAAAAAAGTTGTTTTGACTTGGGCTCGTCCGGGATTTGAACCCGGGACCTCCCGCACCCTAAGCGGAAATCATACCCCTAGACCAACGAGCCAGTTGCGGTCTGACTGTCCAAATGCCTTCATGAGATACCTGCAGCGCAGCCACGTCTCTTATACTGCAATAAGCTTTAAAAATAGCCTAAACCAGTTATTTAAATGTTTACCATCCATTTGCATTGAAAGCATAAGCCACTGTAAGATATTATGAATAACCTTGTAGTGCAGTTTCACTTGGAGGCCTATTTTTCGGTCTCGATCAATCGGCTCGTTGGTCTAGGGGTATGATTTCCGCTTAGGGTGCGGGAGGTCCCGGGTTCAAATCCCGGACGAGCCCAAGAAAGGTATTATTTTTATTTGCTCAATTTTTTTAAGGCTTAATAAATGTTTTATAACTATTATAATATAGTCCCCATATCTTTTGATCTGTATGGATTGTATTTTAAAAAACAAATATCTAAATGCAATTTTTACAGATTTATAAATAAAAACACTAAAAAAAATTACTTTCTCTTGGGCTCGTCCGGGATTTGAACCCGGGACCTCCCGCACCCTAAGCGGAAATCATACCCCTAGACCAACGAGCCAGTTGACTGCACCGCGATAAAAATACGTTTTCTTATTGCAGCCATTCCATGCGCAAGTGCAAATAAAGCTTTTGCCCTAAGAGGCGTGAAGCTTTCCTGGAAAACCGAAGACGCGAGCAGAACGCAAGAGCGCAGATACATCTGCGAGATAAAGATTCTCGACTCATTACATGCCATTTCCAGTAATTTCTGCTGCAGCGGGCAAAAAGAGTGTCTGAATAAATGAGCGCATTCGGACATCGGGGGACTCTGGCTCGGTTCCATGCAGTCTGGCGCATCAGAGTGGCTGCCACAAAAAAGGCAAGGGAGAATGAACTGTAGATGCAGCTGGCATAAGACACACAGTCCGCGGCCTTATATGTCAACTAACGTTCCCTTGGGTACGTGCGACAAAAACCCTTTGGCTCGATCTTAAAATGCAGAATGCGTCGCCTCGTCTCAGCTAGCTGTGTTATGGAGTTTTTCCCGGGAATTGTGGGATCTGTAATGCGTTTTTTCCTTCTAGACCTATTGCCTTTTCTGGTTGGAGCCTTTACGATTGCAACGATTGTGACGTCACTTTAAATGAGTCGCAATGGATTTGAACTTTTCCCCAATTGGAATTGCGCGATTCGATTCCCATTCCACCTTCCCTCGCCGTTAATTCGCATAATTGTTTTGCTACTTGGGAAGCAATTCGACAAAATGTTGACGAAGGCAAAGAAAAGAAGGAGACTGAAGAAAAGCAAACGTTGTGGAAATTAGCGAAAATTACAGGCCCCTGTTTGGCTCTTGAATCACGATTTTCACTTCATTGGCAAACCATCGATACAATTTGTTTGCATTTCCCCCGCTTTTCCGTCGCTCTGGCCACGGCTTTTCCTTTCGCTGCCTGTCCCTGACCCCTGTAGGGACAACGACAGCGACAGCGACCACAAAGAGTCCCAATCCCGGTGGCGATTTTCTTTCGGCTTGCCAGAAAGCCCGGCTAACAACCTTTTTATTTGATTATCTACTCAGTTGCCGTCGCTCCGGCCGCCGACTGACGTGACGGAATCGAAATTACTTAATTCAGACGATTGTCAGTCGACTTTAGTGGCATCGGATCAAACGGGGTTAACTTTACCGCCAGTTGAGCAGGTGATCTTAGCAAACAATCTGAATCTCAGCTGAAGAGGCTGCTGATTTTTACATGCAGATGCTGTTTTTATTTCATAAATTGCGAGTCATCAAGTTCCATCTATACAAAAATGGATTAATAATATAATATTTTGATGTTTGAAAATGTTGTTATTATATTATAGTAGTGTAAGACACATATTTGTTGGCCAGAATATGGGTCAACTTTAACACCTTGATTATCTATAACCCAAACAAGTCCACCAGTAATGAGCCTGATCGGATGGAAGTCGTTTGCCCGTCCCATTCAATCATCCTCCAAGTGGGGCTTCCATTTCCCTCAACTTCAGGCAGCTCGGGAAAGACGTCATTACCATCTTGCACACCTGCAATTACCATCTAGTTCTCCGTAAAATTTTCCAGCTCGAACTATGAGCGGGAAGTATGAGTTCTGATTAGTGTATGATACGAAAGGAGAATAGGAATGAGGAACTCTAAGACACCTTGCCAGAGGGTACGGTTTTACCAATAAGAATTCCATGCGTAAATGTTTGAAGAATCAATAATTAAGCTGACTTAAAGAATTAAAATATTTGATTTTATTTGATATTCATTAAAATATATTTTTTTATAATCTCCATACTTATCACCGCTCTCATTTATTATTTCTTCAGTATAGAAAACCTTACCGAAATTTTAAATTTTATGACCAGTTCTATCCCTGAGCCCCAACTAATTAAACACGCTCGTAAATTGTTATGATATACCATAAAAGAAACGACACTAAATCGTTTACTGACTTCAAAGGACCTAGCGGGGCTCTTTCGCTTTGGCTTGCCGAGCTCCTAACAAGCGCCAAAAAGAAAATCACCGCAAATTAGAACAAACCCATCACGATCGATTACATTAAGTATTGCAGCGCCTGTCTTGGTGTGGCTGCCGCTGCTGCTGCTGCTGCAGATTCTAACTGCGACAACATCAAAGGCCCAGCCTCGACCCAATTGGCCTTCTTCTCCGGGGCACCCCAGATCCCATCCCAGATCCCCGGGCTCTGACTTCATTGAAGCATAACGTTCGCCTCGGACTGGGATTCGGATTCGGATGCGGATTCTTTGGGCCTGTTATAACGGCCACGAAATCGCGCGGTCCGAAACAATGCCACGGCAGCAACAGCAACATTAGCAGAAAGCTAAGATGCGGCAGCAGCAGCAGCAGCAACTTGCAACAGTTGCAGAAACGGTAGCTGGCGTTGAGGCTGGAAAGGGAAAATAGCTTCGTTTCGTTTTCGCCCTGCTTCCAGCTCTTTGGCTCTCTGGGGATATTATGTTTGGTGGCTGTTAACATAAATTTATACTGCCTTTAAACTAATTGACGATGACAACTACTGTGCAGCAGTGGCAGTCGCAGCAGCAATAACTACTGGCAATCGTTGCTGGCATACTTTTCCAGGCATCCCTGTTGCGGATTGGCATCGGGATGGGATGGGATGGCATGGCGATGGCTTTGTGGGCTGGTCTCTTGAAATGTTTCCAGGCCTTGGCGATTTACGAGGGCCGCGATCTTGAAATGCCTCGGCGGACACTCACCAAATGTGTGTGCCAGTGCCACATTTTATTCAGCAGCCGTGCTAATTGGAATCCAGCCATTGGTCTGAAACAATTTCTATTTCAATCATAAAATGTATACTAGGACAGTGGTTAAGCGGTGTTTTGGAGGTTTTTATAAAAATCATTTTCTTTAGGAAGTCACATGAAATGTTTATAAATGTTGCTTTAGAATACTGTATGATTTCTGGTGAAGAGGTGAGCTGGGTCCTTGTCAGCTTGCCTGCTCGTTCAGCTAACATTTTTTTTACCTTAGCTTTCCTTTACAAAGAACTTTAATTGCCTTTCAAAGCTAGTCACTCTTCAAAACTCACTCCATTTTATTTTCCATTTTCATAAACGTGTACCACCATCGATTGTCATTAGTGAAATGAAATGCACGCAAAGACAGAGTGCCGCCTGTCAAAGATGCCGAGGAAAGTTTCGATTCGTCAGCGCGCCAGGTCTGGATCAAGATAGTGTGGCAATTGATGGATTCGTGGAGGCGAAGAGGCCACTGAGGAAGTCGACAACAAGTTGTAAGAACGAATAAACAATTGGTAATTGTTTCGAACTGGAAATGGAAATGGAAATGGCAGCGGCACTAGAGGACTGCCGAAGAGGCCCAGAGACCTGGTGACACACATTTCCATCCATTATCCAGGCACAAGCACAGGCAGACACCACCAACATGCAATGTACACGAGCTTGAAAACCGAAAGTCACACAAACCAAGATAATCATCAAACGAGACTTCTTCTGGCTATGGCTCTGACTCTGCCCGTGGCTCTGGCTCTGGCTCTGTCTATGCTTCTCCTGCTCTCTGGGCCATCGTGTGAAACATAAATGCGCCCAAATTGATTTTTAAATGCTCCTGGGGACCCAGCTCCTGGGGATTGACCCAGCTCAACCCTCTGGGAATCGGCTGCGGAGAATCGAATACTGCAGAATACTATACTTGTGGCTGCCGTAATACGCAAGCCCCGTTTTTGGCGCTGGCAGAAATGAACGAAAAAATCTGTTTACTATTTAAGGCAGTAACAATTTGTTCGGCTCACGTTTTTGGCTAGCACATATTTGGCTAGGATGCGCTTATCCCAAAAGATGGCCTCGGAGAGAGAGAGAGAGCAAATGGAGATGCACTCCGAGGCCTGTGGCCGGGACTGGAGGTAAAAAGGAGACTGCCCCATCCGACGCCCACAATGAAAGGCGAAGGCGAAGGCGTTGCCGCTACAAATTCCCAGCTGGCCTGATATGCAATCACAAAACATTGCATAAACATCGGTACATCGGACAATGGGCCACCTAAATGAACCGATCGTAAATTGCGCGGTAGTTGGGCCCCAGTCCAAGGACCCCCTTTGGGGGGAACCCCTTCTGGACGATGGCAACTGTGAAGTCATAAATTTGTCGACCGTTCCTCGTTCCTGCCGGCTAACGGAGAGTGCACACGGTGCGTATGTATTTGGCCAGGTTCCACATAAAGCAGCGGAGCACGCCCCGAGGGAATTAACGTGGCCAAGATCCTCGCGAACCTCTGGCTGTCGGTGTTGCCAGAGGGAGAAAAGGGAATACAGTGGCAGGGACTGGGCCAGGATGGTTCAAAGGTAAATATGGAAGGAGTTCAGTTGAATATTTTGTTTACCCTGGCAGGGTATTAAGGTAGCTCTCCT